GGAAAACTCCTTCGTTTTTGTGCACTATGACAAACACTATTTTCTGAGCAAGAATACATTCAGTTGTGCAGTAGGCAACAATCCCTTGTGGTTGAATGATTTGTTGAAGTGGAAAATTTTATTTAGCTGCATTTGGGTATGAGTCTCCTGAGTTTCCACACAGCAATTAAAGCAATACCAAAAAAAAAGAAAGAAAAAAGAATCATCTTTATCCATGGGGCAAATTTCCAACACCTTTTCTGCACCTTGGGGGCACTTGAGGACTAAACTACAGCAGCCAAATGGATATTTTCAGACTTGTTTTACCTTCATAGAGTTGAACAGATGCAGGCATAATGGTGCAACTATGTCCTCAAGAAAGGATGATCAGCAGTGGTTTTCCCGAGCTTCAGAACTGACTACCAATCTCACAAAATTGCTTCTTGGGTTGGCAATAGGGTTGGGGGAGAAAGTTGATTCAGCTCACAATTAAAAATAACACCTAATCTGCATTTTCTGAAACAATATGCAGACTAAAACACAGTCTTTCTTTGAAATTCACATTTAACTGAAATTTGCAACCAGTCCTCCTGCCAAGTAATGTGCATGAAAATGCATATAGTAGGGTAAAATGTGCCTAAAAATGCATATATCCATGAAAATACAAAATGCAATATATTAGAAGGAACTGCTTTGCAAAATTGTGTCTGTCAGGCAAAATTGTATACAAATATATTGGGATAAATTATTGCTAAAATGCTGGTGAGGTTTGGGTTTTTTGGGGGGGGAGTCACAAACTGATGTGTAAATGTGAAGCACTGAACTTAACATGGGAGAAATGAGAACCCGAGAAAACCTGAGACATGAAAAATGAGAAACCAGGAGCGATATCAGAGACAGAGACAGTGATGCAACCCCACGACCCTTTAACCATATGGAGGTATTTCATACAGAATAGCATTTGAAGAGGGCTGTAATTCTATGCCAAAGTGATCACAACAAGTGACGTGAGGTCACAGCTCAGTGAGGAGAACACAGTTTGCATGCAAAAGTTCCCTGATTCAACTCTGGGCATCACCAGGCACATAGGACTGGAAAGCTGCACATCAGAGACCTTGTAAGAGTTTCCACCAACCATTGTAGACAATACTTAGCTAGTTGGGTGGACAGTAGCAGATGTTGGACTTGGGAGAAGGTGTTTACCTAACCTCCAGACAGGTGAGTCACTGTTTGTTCTGGACAGGAGGACAGGAAGGTGAGGCTGTGTGTAGGGCAGTGCAGTGCAAAGACACTGGCAGGAGCACCAGATTGGTTTCACTGGTGCATTTGCACCACACTGACCTTTCTGCCACCTCACCTATCCCACCCGAAAAGCAGCAGCATCTCATCTGCCAGGAGATCTGGAAAGAGTTTGAATGCTGGTGGGAGACAGCTTAGAGAGTCAGTTGGAGTGTGAGTTGGGAGTCGAGTGGTAGTTGGAAATTCACGTGATCTAGGTTAGATTACTGCAATACATTAGATGTGGAGCTGCCACTGAAGGTAGTTTTTTAAAGTTCAGCTGGTTCAGAATTCACTGGCCAGGTTGCTCACTGGGGCAAGACGGTTTGAGCATATAACACCAATCCTGGCCTGACTGCACTGGCTGCCAGCAAGTTTCCAGGTCCAATTCAAAGTGTTGGTTTTGACCTAGAAACAGCTCAGGACTGCAGTACCTGAAGGACAACCTCTCCCCATATGAAACAACCCAGAGCCTGCAACAATCATCTGAAGCCCTTCTTCAAGAGGTCTGGAGGGAACCAACATTAAGAGGTCTGGAGGGAACCAACACTGCCTTTTCTGCAGTGGCTCGCCACTTGTGGAATGCTCTCCTCTGGGAGCCTTATCTATCTGGTGCCTTTGTTACATATCTTTAGACCCCAGGCAAAACATTTATGTTCTCCCATGCCGTTGGCTAATTAAACAATGTAAGGCTTTTAAAACTGTGGAAGGGAGGATTATTGTTTTTGTATGTTATGTTATGTTATGTTATGTTATGTTATGTTATGGTGCTGGAGGAGACTCTTGAGAGTCCCATGGACTGCAAGAAGATGAAACCTATCCATTCTGAAGGAAATCAGCCCCGAGTGCTCACTGGAAGGACAGATCTTGAAGCTGAAGCTCCAATACTTTGGCCACCTCATGAGAAGAGAAGACTCCCTGGAAAAGACCCTGATGTTGGGAAAGATGGAGGGCACAAGGAAAAGGAGACGACAAAGGACGAGATGGCTGGACAGTGTTCTTGAAGCTACTAACATGAGTTTGACCAAATTGTGGGAGGCTGTGGAAGACAGGAGTGCTTGGCATGCTCTGGTCCATGGGGTCACGAAGAGTCGGACATGACTAAATGACTAAACAACTAGACGACTAAATGACTAAACAACAAAAACAAAGTTATGCATTTTTGTGTTTTTATATTGTATAATTCACCCTGTGATCCTCAGATGAAAGGCGATATCGAAATTCAATAAACAAACAAACAAATGTGGACAGGGAGTATTTTGATGACAGCAACGTTGACCTAACAGATTAGAGTCAGCATTGTTATAAGTATTATTCGATTATCCAATAATAACCAGTATCCAATATGAAAATATAAAACTGAAGCCATGTGCTTCTTTATAGTACGTGATCATAAAACCTTTCATTATTTCTGTTTTAATAAATTATTGCATCATACACATATGCCTATTGACTGACTAAGCTAGAAGTGGCTGATACTCAGGTACAGTGGTACCTCGGGTTACATACGCTTCAGGTTACAGACGCTTCAGGTTACAGACTCCGCTAACCCAGAAATAGTACCTCAGATTAAGAACTTTGCTTCAGGATGAGAACAGAAATTGTGCTCCGGCGCCACCACAGTGGCAGCAAGAGGCCCCATTAGCTAAAGTGGTGCTTCAGGTTAAGAACAGTTTCAGGTTAAGAACGGACATCCGGAACAAATTAAGTACTTAACCTGAGGTACCACTGTACTTGATATCTGTGGTGGCAGCAGAAACAATGGGAGTTTTAAAATACCCATCAGAAATTCAGCTCACAGTTGTACAGCTCACAGAGAGTGTGGTATTGGGGAGCTGAGGTGAATCTCTGGATAGTACCAGAAATGACATAGCTGAGCGAGTTACGGCACAGCAGTTGCATTTGGCCAGTGTTGAGATACCACCCCCTGCTTTCAAGTCTTGCTGTGAAGTCCTGCCCGAAGCCCACCCAAATCTCTCTCCCCTGTCCCTCAATGAAATCTGATAAACCCCACACCACCCCCAGAATCTTATGAAAGCACCTTCAGCCTTCCTTTGGACCTCTGCAAGAAAACCAGCATGGTTCCTGTTTGTGGCAGTTTTATCAGATTTCATTCATTTCAGCTTTCTAAACACCCCCCCCCCCCATCCTAAACTACCACATCATCTAGGAGCATTATTTCTTGGGAATAGGTACCCCCCGTTCCACAGTTTTGGTCTCTTGCTGGCAAATCTGCCACAGAAGCAGCAGCGAGCATTATATCAGGCTATGTGAACCTGAGATTTTCTAGATATGGCAATGCAGAAGACCTACAATTGCTTGTTATTATAGAAAGATCAAAGCCCCCTCTGTTATACATAAACGCAGCAGGGTTACGTGCGCAAGATGGAGGCGAATTACAATTTCTTTGAGTTCCTTCTGGATCTGACTGTGCATAAGTCACTTTGTGAGTCAGAGGAGTCACATAAATATAACTAGGAGAGGAATAGAAGACAGAGGAGACTCAGCTTCATTAATTAAAAACGTAAAGGTCTCTTTACAGCGTATTATTAACATCTCCTCTGGAGCAGCTAGTGCAAAAGCAGAGATGTGATTTGCAAGATGACTCCAGTGCTAACATTTATTATATCCAAATAGAGATCCCATGTCTGGCTCAGATATTTATGGGACTCCAACAGCCATGGTCAGCGATCATCTCACACTTGCAAATGAGTTATTCTCACAACAACCCTGTGGAGCAGAGAAACAGTATCCTTGTTTGGACAGGTGAGAAACTCCCTGTCCAGTCAAAGGTCATATAAGTTGCCAGCGACACAGAAGGCAAATGACTACAAATCTTCCTATAGCAAGCCTACATCGTGGAATGCCCCATCTGTCCTTACCCATATCACTCAGAAAATTGCAACTCCTGCCCTGATGGATGTAGGTGGGTGTTCTTCTGCAGCCTTTTATAAACTGGAGGTCAGTTTCTTCCCCTGCTGATTCCAGGTCAGCCCTGCCAGTTGGTGTGCTCAAAGAGAAAAAAGATTTTGTATTCTGTTCAGCTCTCCTCCTCCCCACCAGTTATCTCCTGGTGAGAAGAAGTTACCCCATCTTGCTACCAAACATATGCTCATGCCCTGGAGAAGAACATAATAGTAATAATTGTGGTGACTTCTGCTGAAGTTCAGGCTAGAATTCCCATGATTGACAACCTTTCAAAGTTTAAACTGCTACATTGTCCTCCCATTCACCCCTGAAAGAGGCATGACAGTTGTCAAAAACACTATAAAAAAGCACAGCTGCCATTCCAAATATCCTGCCTCCAGGCTTGCAGACTTACCTCGGACAGGCAGAAGGAACATTTGCAGCAGGGATTAGATCTACAGGTGCTTGAAGAACTCAAATAACCCCTGTTTTAAAACAGCTGCAGTGGTTGCCAGCTCATTTCTGGGCCCAATCATTAGCGTTTAAAACTCTAACCAACTGTCTCAAGCTCTACCAAACTTCTCAGGTGTTGAGATCTACAGAGGGCTGTTTCCTAGTAGTTCTGTCACCCTCAGAAGTGTAAGGAACAGGAACCTGGGAGAAAGTTTTCTCTGTGCTGGCTCCTAGATAGTGGAACTCCCACCAGACAGAGGTGTGCCTAACATCTTCATGGAACAGCCGATGTTATATGCTGAAGACACACCTCTTTACGTTGGCCTTTGAGAGTCAAGGTCAATTATGTGTTTTATAATTGCGATGATCTTGTTTTTATAATGGTACATTCTATGTTCAGTTGGTTAGAGCATGGTGCTTATAACACCAAGGTTGCAGGTTGAATCCCTATAAGGGACAGCTGCATATTTCCTGAATGGAAAATAATATAGTGCAACTGACTTTCGGGGTTATTGTGTTGTACGACAAGCACACAGAGTGCAACGAGATTGATTGTTTGTAGGGGGGAGGGAGGCTCGGTTAATTTAATTGTACACAGGTTGTACATTGACAATAAAGGTATTATTATTATTATTATTATTATTATTATTATTACTATTACTATTATATCCTCAGGGTCCCTTCCAACTCTATGATCCTATGATCCTATTGTTGAAACCTTGTGGTAATGGCTGGGTAAGAACTCTTATAAATAAGTCCCAGAATGCCCATCAAGGAACCAAAACTCTTTTGTTTCAAACTTTGCAAATTGTGGACAAAATGGACTGTTTCAAGAGGTGGCAGAAAGATATTTCTAGATTCGTCTGGCAGGGCAAGAAGCCCAGAATAAAATTTAAAATACTAACAGATGCAAAGGAAAGAGGTGGATTTGCCCTGCCAGACCTTAAACTTTACTATGAATCAGCAGCTTTTTGCTGGTTGAAAGATTGGCTGCTTCTTGAAAACACTGACATTTTGGATCTAGAAGGTTTTAACAATGTATTTGGATGGCATGCATATCTATGGTATGATAAGGTCAAAGCACATAAAGCATTTAAAAACCATATTGTCAGGAAAGCGCTGTTTAATGTTTGGATAAGATATAAGGACCTATTAGAAAACAAAACTCCAAGGTGGCTGTCACCAATGGAAGCGAAAGCCTTGAAAAAGCTCAATATGGAGGTCAAATGGCCGAAATATTGGGAAATTTTGGAACAAGATGGAGATAGACTGAAATTGCAGAGTTTTGAAAAACTAAAAAACAAAGTGCGAGACTGGCTTCATTACTTTCAGATAATGGAGGCATTTAAATTGGACAAGAAAATTGGCTTCCAGGTGGAAAAATCAAAATTAGAAACTGAACTGTTAGAACCCAAAACTAAGAATTTGTCAAGAATGTATAACTTGCTGCTGAAATGGAACACTCAGGATGAAACGGTAAAATCGGCTATGATTAAATGGGCACAAGACGTTGGACACAACATTATGTTTGCTGACTGGGAGCAGTTATGGACCACAGGTATGAAATTTACGGCATGTAATGCCCTAAGAGAGAATATTATGAAAATGATATACAGGTGGTACATAACCCCAGTCAAGCTTGCAAAAATCTATCATTTGCCCGATAATAAATGTTGGAAGTGTAAAGAAACTGAAGGTACATTTTTTCACCTTTGGTGGACATGCCCAAAGATTAAGGCTTTCTGGGAAATGATATATAATGAATTAAAAAAGGTATTCAAATATACCTTCCCCAAGAAACCAGAGGCCTTTCTCCTGGGCATAGTCGGCCAAATGGTGAAAAAATGGATAGAACTTTCTTTATGTATGCAACAACAGCAGCAAGAATACTCATTGCAAAGTATTGGAAGACACAAGAGCTTCCCACACTGGAGGAATGGCAGATGAAACTGATGGACTATATGGAACTGGCGGAAATGACTGGTAGAATCCGTGACCAGGGAGAAGAGTCGGTGGAGGAAGATTGGAAGAAATTCAAAGACTATCTGCAGAAACATTGCAAAATTAAAGAATGATAGAGTGATGTTGGATTAAAAATAAGTGGCTTCCAGCTGTTTAGGATTTAAAATTATGGATAGATTAAGATTAAGGATTAGGATTAAAAAAGTTTAAGGAAATGGAAATTTGGTTTTCAAAAGGTAAAATTTTAATGTTATATTATATTAAGAGTTAAGATTGGGATTAAAAAAAGAGGGAAAGAAATTGCTGGACAAACAATTTGAACTGGAATACAAAAGAGGGAGGTACGAGGAGGTCCAGAAAATAAGTAATTTTAAAAATGGAGACGAAAAGGTGATATTGTTTTTAATTGTTCTACTTTCTTTTTTGTCTTTTGTTCTCTTGTTTTTTTTCCGTTTTTTTCTTTTAGATTATGTATTCTATATTTTGAATTGTGTATTTCTTTTTTATGTTTTATGTTTAATCTTTTATTGAAACTTTAATAAATATCATTTAAAAAAAAAATCAAGGAACCAAAACTCAAGGTCCAATTCCACCAGGTATTCTGGGACTTGTAATTCCAGTTTCAGTGGGGAGAAATGTTACAACAATTACCCACTGCTTCCACCTGCCACCAGGCATGGTGTTTCTGGCAAGGAAGATGGCAGAGGAGAAGCAGCAATCTATGCCAATCTCAATGCTACTTGCTAAAATCCAAATGCTGTCGTATGCAAGCAAGCCCTGTTTGAATTAGGAACACCTAATGCAGTTCGATCTTCCAGTCATTGATTCTCCTGACAGAGGCAGGGGGAATGAGTGCTTGACCCACAACAGCTTGTGATTCAAGCCATGCTGCACCCAACTCAAAGTTATGTATTAGAGGCAAATCAAAATGTCCTTGTAGATCAATCCTGAAGAATGGCCAACCATGCAGCAGATTTGACAAAAGCGCCATTGGCTTCATTTTCCGAAGCAATGGGGGCACTGCCAAGTCATATGCAGCATCCTTGCCAGGAAGCTTGCAAGTTTTCATGCTGAAAAATTACAACACTCCCAAACATTTTCCTCCTGCTCTTTTGGCAGGTGGTTGGTGGCCCTTTCCCAGCCATTCCAAGTGACTTCCTCGGTCTTAGAAAAGATTATTGCTTGAAAACCACCTCAGTGTATTTGCAAGTCTTTCACCAAATCACTTTCATTATGTGAATAAGATGCTAATATGGAAATGTGCAAGGAAAACATATTTTGACACATTAGCACATTTGGAAGCCAACACGGTCCACATTTATCATCATGTTGCTGTACAACCCCTGAGGAAAGTATGAGTGAAATCATGAGTGAGGGAGAAGTGAGAGAAGAAAACAAACTATTAAGCTACAACCTCTTTCATATGCTACGGGTGTCTGTTAAGTGTCGGTAGCAGTGTAGTGGTTTCTGAGGTCACCAGGCCAATTCTGGAGAGATGCATTGTATTTCTTATTTAGATTATAGCAATTATGTCTAAATTTGCATCTAAGCATATAAATGATGTGAATTTTATGCAAATCTGTGTCCATTTTAGTCCTCTCTTTTTTTTTGGTGACGTTGCATTTCCTTTTCTAATTTTGGAGATGCATAAGTGGCCACCCTAACAAGCATAATGGAAGAAAACAGCAAATGCTTATACAGGGCAGCAGATATGATGTCTGCATCAAATCCTCAGAGAAAGATCTGCACCTTCAACAAACCTTCAAATTGTTATCTCTCTCAACCTCTTCCTCCCTCAAACAGCAAAACTGCAATTTCTCTAAATTTGGATGTGCATGCGCACACATACACTTGCCCCCTCTCGATAGCTGGGGTGGAGTCCTCTATCTTTCCCAAGCTCCTGTCCCAGTTTCTGATTTTATCCCAGAATGTCCTGCTTTTACTTAGGATGTCCCTATTTTCACCATCCTGGAAAGTATAGTAGGACATCACTACAGTGGTACCTCATGTTATGTACTTAAAGCGTTCCGGAGCTCTGTTTGTAACCCGAAACCACTCATAACATGAGGCATGCTTTCCCTAATGGCACCTCCCGCTGCTGCCGCGCTACTGGAGTGCGACTTCCTCTCACATCCCGGGATAAAGGTCGCAACAAGGGGCATCTACTTCCCGTAACCCGCAGCATTCGTAAGGGGGATGGTACGTAACACGAGGTACCACTGTATTTTCATTGGAAATAGTGTTGGAGGGGTTATGTGATCCTTGAGCCAAGGAGATAAGTAACTATACAACCTTTAGAAGACATCTGGAGGCATCTCTGTATAGGGAAGGTTTTGTAATGTTTAATGTTTTATTACGTTTTTATATGTGTTGGAAGCCGCTCAAAGTGGATGGAGCAACCAAGTCAGATGAGCGGGGTATAAATAATAAAATTACTACCACTTCTACTATGGAATAGGATGTCCCTGTCTTCAGTGGAGAAAAGTTGGAGGGTTTGTGATGGTTATCTTCCTCAAAACATTTAAAACAGTTCTCAGGCTATTAGCAAGCTATCTTGTAACAATCAGCTTCCATAAGACTAGCATTCTGGACTACAAACAAAGAAATTTATCCTAAAAAGGAATGGTTGTCCAGCATCATGTTACCACAATGACATTGGAGTCACTTCCCTACGACCATCCCATGATGCCTTGCAATATTTGGAAGGTTGAACTTCGGGGCTATAGCCACTTACCCAAGTCCTTCCCACCTATTATTGCCCTTCCTCCTGTCAATGGAATGACTTAGTAGGAAGTAAAAATGCGACAAGTCCTGCCCATGTTGGTCCATCATTTGTAAGGTATTTTAAAGTCAGTCTTTTAGAGACCCAAATAATTTTGGAAATTATCTAATTTTCCCATTGGTGAAAGAATAGGACTCTTCTCCCCTGGACTGTTTATGGACTGCGTGCAAGTGCATACCTGCCTTGCCCATTGCTCATCTTTCTTGTGTGTTTGTTGGAGGAATAATAAGGTTAATTCATGTAGCCTGAAAGGAAGAGCCTGTGATGTAAAAGGGGCAGGTAAACAAAGGCTATATCAACAGACTGGAAGTGTTAGATCTCATCATAATAATGAAAGGCTTTCAGGAGAGAAAGGAGCTTGCATAAGATTCTCTCTTTGGGGAATGTGCTTCAATATAGTGTCAAAGGATTGCATTTAATCCTTGTTTAGCGGCATGGGGCGGGCATATACTAGTTTTCTGTGACTTTTACATACAATTTATTCTTCTTAAAATTCCACTCACCCACCTCAATTCAGCAATTTTTTCATTTGCTTCATAAACCTTTGTGGTCTCAGCTTTTTTTGAACACCCTCCCACCTGGAAGCCATTAACTATGCTACCTTGAGATGCTGCAAGGAAGCCCCAGGGAAACATTTAGACTGATTGATAGAGGGCAGCCTAGCAGGCATAAATCCCCCCTTTATCTGGTGGCAGAAACTTCTTTAAAGGGGAAG